TTAGTTCTTGTAAAAGCTATGACACCATATTAAATGTTATGAAAGTGCTTTAGTTGCACGCAGACACAAATGACACCCAAGCACCTACTAGGATAAAAGAAAATTCAGATGCAGCAGGACTTTAATGGGAAATAATAAGTTACATGAGGATTAAGGAAGAATTTGACTACAAAGACAGCTCAGCAGTTGAAGAACAGCAGCTGTTCTTCCAGGCCCCGCCCACAAGCACTTGTAACTCCAGGGGATCCAATTCCCTCTTCTGACCTCTGCAGGCAACGGGAGCACTCATGTTTCACACACGTAAGCGCAGGCCGAGCCCCGCTACACATAAAATAAGAAGAAAAATTTGAGGTGGACACAGTGGCATATACCTTTAATTCAAGCACACAAAAAGCAGCAGACCTCTATGGGTTTGAGAGTAGCCTGGCCTTGGTAGCGAGTACTAGGACAACCAGGACTATAGAATGAGACCCTTCCTGAAAAAAAAAAAAAAAAAAAGATAGACCCCTTCCACGTTAGTGGTGGGAACGTGAAATGGTAAGCTGTTGAAGAAAATAGTTTAGGGGCTTTTCAAAATGTGGCTTCACAATTTCACTTCTCCCCAAATTGAAAATGGGTATTCAAATCTTTTTTTGTTTTTTTTTTTTGTTTGTTTGTTTGTGTTTTATCAAGACAGGGTTTCTCTGTGTAGCCCTGGCTGTCCTGGAACTCACTCTGTAGACCAGGCTGGCCTTGAACTCAGAAATCTGCCTGTCTTTGCCTCCCAAGTGCTGAGATTAAAGGCGTGCGCCACCAACTGGGTATTCAAATCGTTAGGCACACATGTTCACAGCATTAGGGCTAGCAGTAACTCAAATGTGGAAAGAACCCAAATATCCATCAACTAATAAGTAGGGATATAGCCACAATTATTTGGCCAACTGATACATGGTATAGTGTGGGTGAACCTGAAAAACAACTTTATGTGAAGAGAAAGAAGCCAGTTGGAAGAAGTCTCATATAGTATGACCCCCTTACAGGAAACCTCTGGAATAAGTAAATCCAAGGAAACAGAGGCAGATCAGTGGTTGCCAGGGACTGAAGAAAGGTGGGAACGGAAAACTACTGACTAAGGGGTCTAAAACTTTTCTTTGGGGGCAGTGAAAATGTTTTGGCACTACAGAGGTAGTAACTGGGACACGCTGTGGAGCTACTAAATGATGCTGAAATTTTCACTTTGAAATTGTGTGATGGTGAGTTTTGCCAACTTGACACAATCATCTGGGAAGTGAGTCTCAGAAAGGACTCATCTATATTTCATTTGTTATTTTATATATGTGGGTGTTTTGCCTGCATTCATATCTGTGCATTATAAATGTGTCCGGTTATCTTGGAGATCAGAAGATGGAGTTGGATTTCCTAAAATTGGAGCTATAGATGGTCATGAGCTACCATAAGTGTGTTGGAAATGGAGTCCCAGTTTTCTGGAAGAGCTCCAAGGGCTCTTAACTGCTGAACCATCTCTCTAATCCCTCAGTGAAAAATTATATCAACAGATTTTCCTGTAAGAAGTCTGTGGGGGCTGGGCAGTGGTGACACACGCCTTTAATCCCAGCACTTGGGAGGCAGAGCTAGCGGATTTTTGAGTTCAAGGCCAGCCTGGTCTACAGAGTGAGTTCCAGGACAGCCAGGGCTACACAGAGAAACCCTGTCTTGAAAAACAAACAAACAAAAAGTCTGTGGAGTATTATCCTGATTAATTAAACTGAGTGGGAAAGACCTGCCCACTCTGAGTGGCACCATTCCCTAGGCAGGGGAATCCTAAATGTGTAAGATGGAGATGATGAAGCATGCATGCATGATTCACTCACTGCTTTCTACTGTTGACTGTGGATGTGATGTGACTAGCTGCTTTACATCCTGACACCTTGGACTTCCCTGATACGATGAACTCTGACCTCTCAGCTAAGCTAAGCCCTTTCTCCTCTATGTTGCTTTTATCAGGGCATTTTATCATAACAGAATCGAAAAGAAGAAAGCTGGTTTTATGGTTTTTGAAGTTATTTTGATACTTGCTATGGTTTGTCACTTAAATGTCTCCTGAAGGCACATATGTTTAGATTTGATTGGTAGCCAGTGGCATTGCTGGTGGATGGTAGAACCTCTAGAAGGGCGGTCTAGTAGAAAGAAGTTAGGTTTCTGGTGGTGAACCTTTGTGTCAGATACAGGAACCCTGGATTCTTTATCATTCTTCTTGGGTCTCTCTGACATGATGGGCTTTGCCACAGTCCCCAAAGACTAGGACCGACACCTTAAAAACCATGAGCCAAACTAAACCTTTGTTTCTTTTAAGTGATTGCCTTAGTTAGGGTTTCTATTGCTGTGAAGAGATTCCATGACCATGGCAACTCTTATAAAGGAGAACATTTGAGGCTAGCTTACAGTTTCAGAGCTCTAGTCCATTATTGTCATGGCCAGCAGGATGGCAGCATGCAGGTAGACATGGTGTTGGAGGAGCTGAGTTCTACATCTTGATCCAAAGGCAACAGGAAGTGACTGTGCACCACTGAGCCCAGGCTTGAGTTTCTGAGCCCTCAAGCCTGCTCTCCCACAACACATTCCACCAAGGCCACACCTACCCCAACAAGGCCACACCTCCTGATAGTGCCACTCCTTATGGGCCACTCCTTATGGGCCACACATTCAAACCCATGAGTCTATGAGGAACCACAATGACTGTTTCAGGTACATTGTCATAACGGTGAAAAGCTGATTAATATAATACCCGCTTTGAAAATGACTCAAATTAATGGACAAATATCTGAAATAAATATACTTAAAGGTAACTTGGATTTTGCCCATCTGGTGCTCAGCCACAGAGCCCGTTTGGCTCCTGCCTGTCTGTGCCCTCTGTAGAATCATGAACTTTGATTTCTAACAGCCAGAGTATGTCTGACTTCCCTACTCTCCTCAGTGCTGGCAGCCCTGAGTTGATTGGCAGGTCTGTGATTGATTAGTAAATGCCCTTGCCGAGCAGAGATAGTGCTACAGGATTGACCCCCTTCCTAAACACGTTTTGGAACTAAAGTCGTCAAGAACAGCCTCAGGCTTGAGCTTGCTTGAAGTGTTCTAGTTGTGACTACGCTAGAAGCCACTGTGCTCTGAAATGATGGAAATATTATTTAAATATTAAGTTAATAACGTTAGTCTTGGGATACTTCTGAAGTGTACTACAATCTCCAAGCTCCAAAAGCCCCAAGGTACTATTTTCCTCAGCTTCCTACTCCAAGGTGTCCCTGCAAATCACAAAAGGGGTCAGAGTGGCTCCTACAGACAGGGGGTTCAGATAATAGTGGGGGTTCAGATAACAGTGGGGAAATGGCCTTTCCTCCTCTTCGGAGCTCATTTCCATTCTATTCAATGAAGATAAATTACTCTCCAGCCTTTGGTTTGTTTGCCACTACTGGAATGGGACAGTATAGCTGTCCTGCAGAAGTTCTCACTGTCCCCCTCCAGTGGCCATTGAGGCCTTATTCTAGACTAGGCTAGTCTGACTACTGTCCCAGTGAATAGATACCCTGGGAGGCTCCTCGGTACCTCTTGCAAAATGTCCTGTCCTTCTGGCTTCCTGTCTAAAATCCCAGAAGGTGGTTGCAGGGTCCAGGTTCAGATGTCAGTGTCTCAGGAAACTATTTTCCAACCATCTATCATGTGCTGGCATCAGTGTTCCAAGAACATAGCTCCTAGCACCCTAGTGCCCCTGTGGGCTTTTGGATGACAGCTTCTTGAAGTTAGAGTAACTTGAGCCTTTACCCTTCCTCCTGGATGGACAGACATATGGAAGAGACCAGCTGAGCACAGACATTAACAGGGACCCTGTTCTCTGTAGAGCTAGCTAGGTTTCTTCAAAGCTGCTAATACCCTCCATGACTGACTGCCACTCCCCAAGGCCCTGTTTGCTTTCACCAGCTACAAGACAGGCTTCTTCCCTGTCTGTCAGCACTCTCCCCCCTTCACCTCACTTCTCCCCTCAGAGGAGGTGAGCAGAGTAGCTATTGGGAAGAGAATAAAAGATAAAAGCAAAAAGACTGTAGGGACTTTATATCCAAAATAAACGATGCTTGAAAGACCGGTGCAGTTTTTCATTCGACTTAAATGAAAATCCAAATGTGCAAAGATGTGAAGTAAATCAATCTCTCTCTCTCTCTCTCTCTCTCTCTCTCTCTCTCTCTCTCTCTCTCTCTTTTTCTCTCTCTTGGAAAGGGCATCAGAAATCTGTATAGGCACCAGCTTACAGGTAGATATTTAAGACTTTTAGGTAGGGTCTAGGGCTCCCTCGAAAGTTGCATGTGGTAAAAGCCAGAGGGACCTGGAACACAGCATATTTCTGGGGAGCACACGAGTGATTTTGAGGGAGAAGTTCAGAATCTTTTAGTAAAACACTTGAGTATAAATGGTGCATGAACATCTCCCGCGGGGCAAAATACAAAAATTTGCAGGATTTGGCAACGCCCTCCCTTCCTGAAGTGCCTCCCTATCTCTCAGTCCTCCACCCCTTCCTCAGGGATACACACCAGCCTAGCAGGCGGGTTGGGGAGAGGTCAAGGGGAATATTTGTTAATGAATCAGTCAGTTTTGGTTAAAACTGAATTCACCTCACTCTCTCTGGGGTTGGAACCGCCAGACCCGAATCAAACAGAAGAGGGAAGGAGAGAAAGGAAAGACACCAGGTAGAGCTTAAACCTCAATGTTTAGGAAATATAGTCACCAGAGAGGTGACTAGCCCAGAAAGTGACAATAAACTGTTCATGTGCATCTCAGATCTGAGATCCAGGTTTTCAAGTTTGTTAGGGGATTTAACGCAAATCAATATGCAAATAGAAGGAATTAAAAAAAAAACCAATTCCAGCCCTTTCTTGGGTTACACACAGGTTAGCTAGTGTGGAGCTCGCCCAGATGCTCCGCAGCACCAGTCCAAGAGGAAGGGCTCGGAGGAGGAGGGCAGTCTCGGGGGCGGGACCATGACGTTGGGGTCAAGGCGGAGCTTCCTCTCGTTCCTCCCCCGGCCGCGGCCGCCGCGGCGGTGGCTCTGCATCTCCAAAAGGGGCCCTCCGACTTCTCACTGGGCCAGTCCGGCGCTGGGTGGCGGAGCCCTACACTACTCCCGCCAGTCTCAGAGCGGGGTTCCCTTCTCTTCAGAGTTTCGAGCAACTTTCCCCGCCTTTGGAGCTAAAGTGACTCGGGGACCGCGGCCGCCGCAGGTGGGAGAGCCCCGGCCCGGCTCTCCGCATCTCCGCTGTGTGCTCGCTCTGGGCAAGCCTTCGGTGCGTGCACCCTGGGGGTCCCCGGCCTCGGCTCTGTGGGCGAGATGCCTCTGGGACACATCATGAGGCTGGATCTGGAGAAGATCGCCCTGGAGTACATCGTGCCCTGTCTGCACGAGGTCGGGTTCTGCTACCTGGACAACTTCCTAGGCGAGGTGGTGGGCGACTGCGTGCTGGAGCGAGTCAAGCAGCTGCACTACAACGGGGCCCTGCGTGACGGCCAGCTGGCGGGGCCGCGCGCCGGCGTCTCCAAGCGGCACCTGCGAGGCGACCAGATCACGTGGATCGGGGGCAACGAGGAGGGCTGCGAGGCCATCAACTTCCTCCTGTCCCTCATCGACAGGCTGGTCCTGTACTGCGGGAGCCGGCTGGGCAAATACTATGTCAAGGAGCGATCCAAGGTAGGATGCGTGCGGGTGCCCAGCCGCAGCTGCGCTGCAGGGGACGGGAAGCCTTCCTTCGGAGTATAGTGTCGCCTTCGCTGGGCTGCAGCGAACTTTGGTTTTTAACCAAGAAGTCAGCTTGTCTTATCTACCCTACTTGCGTCCCCTCCACCTCCCGGCCTAACTCCTTAAGCAAAAGTCCACGTTAAAAGGCTCAGGTGTCTCCTGGTGATGAGCCTCTGCTGACTCTGAAAGAATTGCTCTGGTTTTGGTGATGACCTCAAGGACAACTGGCTGGTGGAGGGAAAAGATATTCGAAACACTTCGACACACATGTCCATGATCCGAAATGCCTGCTTTAAAGCCAGCCGGTATTGCCCTTCACAGTAGCCAGTGGCACTCTTACCTCTACTAAAGGCAAGTGTAATTTTTGCCTTTGTGTTAATTGGCTTGTAGAGTTAGGTAGGGTGGGAAGGAAGAGTTTGATACGAAAAGGTTGAGTAAGATGCCACTTCTGCACGCAGCCTTTGAGCGCTGGGTCCCACAATTCTCTTAGACCCCTCAGCCCAAGTACTGAGTGAGCCCCATGCCATCGCCTTTCTTTTCCTATGAACTCATGACAAAGTCCACTCAAGCAACCTGATAAGGTCCATGAATCGAGTGATGAAGTACCTCTGGGTAGAAACCTTGTTTTTATTCACCTAGGCGGTAGTGGAGCAGTGGGTGGCAATGCTTTATCTTGAAGACATTTACAGGTAGATTGGCAGGTAGGCCAATGGGTGGTGGAGGAGCTAAGACATGTAACATTACTTTGGGTTAGTCTTGCTCCTGGCTAGTTCTTCCTATAAGGATAGTCAAACCCTCTCTCTAGGAGCAATTCAGAGCGATTTGCCCCTATGTTGCTGCAGGACAAGGGACTCTCAGAATCATGAAAACTTCATGAAGTCCAGCAAGGTAGAGCATGTTAGAAGCTGAGGGACCATGAGCATTGACCCATGTACCCCTCTTTAATAATACTCCTGTAGTCTTATTTGTCCCTGAAGCTGGAAAGAGCACCCTTATAAAAAGCAGGTGGTCAACTGGAAATGTCTGGAAGGGTCTAGATGTGTGAGGTTAGTAGGAAGCTGCAGGTTGCTGTCAGGCTGGGAGGATGGAAAGTGACCAGTGCCCTTATGAATGGAGGAGGATGGAAAGTGACCAGTGCCCTTATGAATGGATCCAAAGTAAATCTTTGAGGAACTGTTGATTTCTGAATGTTAGTTTGACTTGGGAGTAGTTACCTGAATTCTGTTAGAGAATGATGACAGGGAATTTTTTTTTTCTTCCGTCAGTTTGGTGGTAGACTCAATCATCTGCGTTTTCATAAGGGATGTTTCTGCACTAAATAACCTTGCTGATAACTGGGCTTAGCCTCTCTACTGGGAGGCACTTGTAGCTTTAATCTGGAAGGCCGAATGACACTTTATCAGTTTTGTGAAGTTTCTTCCAAGCTTAGCTGTTAAGGAATTTCCCCTCAGTGGTTTAGGAATAATGTTTCTCCCCTCTGAGGGAGATTAGATTAATGGTAAGTCAGGTCCCTAACATAGTTTATTATTTAGCTTTGACCTAGTGGATGGCAGGAGGACCCCGAGCTAGAATTTAATTCAAAGGGAATGAAAAAAGTACTTTGTCATCCAGGGTGAGGAAGGCAGGCTCTGTAGATCTCAGGGTGGGCCAAGTAACTTTTCAGTTAACTGTGTAAGAAGGTGATCGTGCACTGAAAAGAGAAACTCTGTCTTACCCATGGAAGAGGCATCCTTCCTTATCCAGATTCTGGCTGTCTTGACTGTTCCTGGCACAGAGCTCTTACAAAGTCCACCTCTAGATTGGACTGGTTCCTGGCTTATTAGAACCAAAATAACAACAACAACAACAAAAACCAAAGTAAAACAAAAAACCAAGTTTCAACAAACAATTATGATAGGGTTTTTTTTTTTTTTTAATGTAAAACTTTGATTTACTTCTGTAAGGCCGCCTGTGGCCTCGGGTCCCTTACTTGGAGTTTGTAATGCAACAAATGCTGGTAATGCATTGTCAAGGCATATCCTGTCTATAGGGGCTACCCTCGCTTCCTTTCACTTGGCCTGTTTTCTTTCTTACGTGCCTTTCCTCCCTCAGTGTCCTTCATTTTGTTCTGCTTCCCACAGTACTGACATAGATAGACCTAATTTCCTGCTTATGGTTCCAGGGGAAAATTGTTTTCTTCATGGAGAAAATTTGTACTGATTTTTTAACTTATTTATAACTTTTGATTGAGGGAATTTCAAACATACACACACGTAGACAGGCTAGCATGAGCTCCCTCTCACCAGGCTATTTTAGCAACTGCCAGTTTGTACATTTAGTTTAGACTGTTTATTTTTTTTTAAAATATACTTTAAATTGCTATTCATTGTACTTACGGATGCATATGCCCTCATTACATTTTTTTTAAAACTGGACTTGTAAAGGTCATTAAATAATGTGAGCAGGATTACAAAGGTATTGGGAATAAACAAGAATAGTTACTGGACCTAAACTGTGGGAGAACTCTTCGTAGTCCTGTCCCTGTCATCCGTGTGTGTGTGTGTGTGTGTGTGTGTGTGTGTGACGTATATATTTGTTAGAAATAGTTTGCTTTGCCTCTGTTGTAGCGAAATGGGGTTTGGAGTCCCTCTGGGGAAAGGGAGTCCCTGTGGTCCTGAGGAGTATAGGAGTATCATGGCGCCCCCTAACCTCAAATGTGGTCATTGCTTTTCAACCAGCAATGGTTATCTGTTACTACTCCCTTCTGGAGATCTAGCCCATATCCAAGATAAATACTGCTTATAATTTGCTTCTTTTTCTTTGGCTGCCTAGAGCTTGCAAATGGCTGTTTTCCAGAGAACGTGTAATTTATAGAACCGAATGTCCCTTTGCCTGAAGCATTCACGGTAGACTCAAGAGTTGGGAACTCTGAGTTGCCTGGTGCTCTGCTCAGCGCTGTACTAATTTTACTTACTTTTCTGAGCCTTGGCCCAAAACGAACCAAGCATTTAAATAATAGACCCAGAATCTCTCACAGTCAGAGGGCCAGAGGCAGTTTTAGAACGAGGTTGGGGGAGGATTGGTGTTACTAAGCCTTGTGGCCTTAGATAAGTCACTTGGGTCTTATCATTGGGAGAAAGACCTATATGACAATACATGTAACATTCTTAGGATTTCCAGTCTTCGTCCTTATTTAAAAGCTCCAGGTAAGGTTTGAGATTCTCACTCGGATTGCTCTGGCTTGAGTCTGTTCGTAACCTCAGGCCTTCTTATTCGGCACCCCAAAAGTGCATGTGTGTCTCTGAGTTTCTGTGCAGGACTCCTGTGAGCCAATTTATACTCACAAATAGATGTGAACTGTAGGGTAGTCTAGTTCCTCATTAATTATGTCTCAAGCCACATGACACACTATGGAAGTGGGCCACTTGAGTGTGTTTGAGGTGCAAGTGAAGTGCCAGGTTAGTTTTTCCAGTGTTGTTTTTAGGCAAGTATAGCTAGACTGGTTGTTAGGACCCTGGCCAGGGCGACTATGGACAATGGTGATAAAAAGGTTGTATTGTGAGCAGACAGGTCTGTCCTTTCCTGGAGACATCACAGAGGACTGAACAGCAGGAGGCTAATGAATAAGACAGTGTGTAGCCTGGGAGCCTGGGCTTGCTTTCCCCTTGAGGAGCAGCTGTTAGGCCTGCCCTTCTGGTACTGATAAGAATGCTTGTTACTTAAAGGAACTTATGCAGGTTGGAAATGATTCTCAACAAAAATGGGATGAAGTACCTACCGTTCTGATCTGACTTCTCTCAGGATACAAGCGCAGGAAATGAAGTCAGAAGTCTCAGAGAACTGGGGCCATGAACATGGAGCCTTCATACCTAGCTGGTGCAAGCTCTCTGAGTTTTCGGACCTTTTTTTTTCTCTGTTTCTATTCTGTATTTCTTCCCCTCCATCCTTCTAATCGAGCCTTGGCTGCTGCTACACACACACACACACACACACACACACACACACACACACACACACGGCTCAAGGTGATTCCTTCCAATGGCTGCTTTAGCTGTTAGGTCAAGATGGCCTGAAGCTTGAACGCCAGTCAAGAATCCCACTTCCACTGCCCAGGAGAAAGCTGGACTGTCTTGACCTTAGCTCTGGGGAACTATGAGTCTTAGTTGGGGTGGTGCAGGCATATAAAATTATATGTCACAAATACGGTTGCCGGAGCCTGTGACAAGGGGTGATCCTTAGAGAGCAGAGATTTGTAGGATCTCTGTGGTCAAATTCTTAAAGTGTCGGAGGACATCATTTATAGAACACAGCCTCGGTGAGAGGGAATCCTGTCTTTGATGAGGGAGATTTCATGGTCTGTGTTGTTGAATGACACTTGAGGAACATAAAAAGAAGCTGTGTGGTTACTCAGGAGTCCTTCCTGCTTATGGTGACACCATTTCTCCAGCCCCTATTATATATGTGTACATGTGTGTATGTGTATCTGGTCCCTCATCCAGGAAGAAAGATGTCTCTCCTAGGAGAGGAGTCCTTGATCAGTCCCTGAGAAGGGCTTATGGGAACAGATGCCTCAAAGGCTAGGTCTGGGTCATCAATCTGGTCATGGGTCACGTGGCCCAGGACTGGCTGGTGAATTCTGCCATGTGAATTCAGTATTTTATTTCAGATTTTTAAATATGGCTCAGACTTAAAATGCTAAGCACCTTTATGGTGGGATTACACTGCATATCTCTGTAACAGGCCTTTGGATGTCAAGGGACAATTTCTCTTTCTGACAGCTTACGCAAATTTGGTGAATTCTCTCCTGACTCCTGACTCTGGCTAGGGAAGCTAGTTTTTCCTAATAATAAAAATAGCTTTGCATCCCAGAACTGTATCCTGGGAGCACACCATATATGGGAGACGCTGTGCTGAGGCTGGAGACTTTCACTGAGCAGAACTGCTTGGTGGGCATCTTCAACACCGCAGTGTCC